ACTTCTGGGCTACTTGAAAAAAGCCCTGCAGAACTTCTAATGAGCAGGCGGCTACGTGCCACGGTGCCTGTCGATCCCACCAGCTTTCTGCCCCATACGAAGAAGCTCAAAAGCCATGATACGACCATCCGATAGCGACAGCGTAGAAACTCCAACTATCGTCATAGGGCTACTTCGTTGCGAGCACTCAAACCGGGCGTGGAAGTCTGGGTGGCGGACTGCAAAGCAAAAGCGCGAGCCTTGCGACTTGCTGAGCGGCCGACGTCGTACGTGGTTAGAACATTCACTGGTGTAGGAAACAGAAAGTCCTTCATTCGCTTCGTTCAACAACTAAAAGATGAAGACAATGGAGGTAGCTATGGTTTTCCTCAATCAAATTATAACCGGGTATAAACGAAACAAATATCTCACAGGTGCCTTGCGTCATAGACAGCAAGGCACCTGATGATCTACCTAGCCCTTCCTTGCCGGTAATCGACCTTCCTGAATACCGAACGCCCCCCGCCGCGGTGGTCTAGTGGCTAAGGTACTTGGCTGCTGGCCCGCAAGTCGCGGGATCGAATCACGGCGGCAGCGGCAGTATTTCACATGGAGGCGGAAGCTTTGTAGGCCCGTGAGCCTAGATTTGAGTGCACGTTGAAGAGCCGCAGCTCGTCTAAATTTCTGGAGCCCTTCACGATGGCGCCTCTCATTATCATAAGTGGTTTTGGGACGTTAAGCTCCACACATCAATCAATCCATCAATACCAAACGCAATCTGGTCACCCCGTTCAACAGCTGGACCTCTACGGGTTAACCAATTGACAGTATTTTTTCTTGTGCATTGTTTGTTTCTGTAAACTTTTCTTTCGTTGCAAGTGCTGAAAAGTCGGTTGCAATTGTCTGCGTAATATTACAGAAGAGAAGATGTGGTGATGGCGCCCATGCGCGTCAAGTGTCCGCGGTATCTGACGGTGTTTCTCACAATTGGAAATGGTTGCTTGTATGCGACGTCATTGGTCACATGAGTGTCTGCTACATATGCATGCTGGTTGCATGGAATAAAGGTTGGGGTTATCTCGCCCGCATCAGAAGCGGCTCAGTCCCTTTCTCGTCTCCTGTGGCCGGCCCGGATGTGCACGGCCTTTCGCTAGGCTGCGATGTGACAAAGACCTACATTTCTCCTCTCCTTGCCTAACTCAGTAATCATAAATTACAATTCACAATCGGAGCCACTCGGAAATGCTCTGTCATCGGTGAAGCGCAAATTACCAAGGTGTTCTCTATTTACTCGTATCCCTAACTCTTCCCATTAGAGGCCCCTGAAAGCCCCCTGTAAGCACGCGGTAAATATCATTGGGAAGACGATATACCCTTGCCTTACACCCCTCCTTATCGGTATTCTCTCACTTTTTTCGTGGAGCACTATGATGGCAGTTGATCCGTTGTAAATTTTTTCTAGGATGGGTATATATGCTTTGTCGACACCCTGATTTCACCGTGTTTGCACGTATGCTGATATATCTACTGAATAAAATACCTTCTCGTGTTCTGTGAAGACGATGTAAGGTGTGTGGGTGTATTCTCCTGATTGATAGTATCATTGCGGTCGATTGTTGATTGTATTGTATGAAATACTGCTTGATCGTTCGGTTGATTAAAATGTAATGGTTGCTTAACTCTGTTAGCAATTACTTTTGTAAATAGCTTGTACACTACGGAGAGCAAGCTGATCAGCCTGTAATTCTTTAAGTCCTTGTCATCTCCTTTCTTATGTATTAAAACGATGCTAGCATCCTTCCAAGACTCTGGTACTCATCTTGTCAGCATTCCTGCCCCGTAAACAGGGTAGCTAGTTTTTATTTCACAATCTGTCCTCCATCTTTCAGCAGATCTGAAGTTACCTGATCCTCACCAGCAGCTTTGCCTCTTTGCATGCACTCCAAGGCTTTTCTGACTTCTTCTATGATTACTGGCGGGGTGCCATCTGGGTTACTGCTTGTTACGAATAGTATTAAGGTCGTGCTTCTCCCGGCTTCTGTACAAATCTCTGTAAAACTCCTCCGGAACTTTAACTATCCTATGCATATTGGTAGTTACTTTGCCTTCCTTGTATCTTATTGCGTACATCTTGTTTTTGCCTATCCGAAGTTTCCTCTTCTCCGCTTTGACGCTTCCTGCATTTCTTCAAAGCATGTTCAATTCTCTCCACGTTACTTCTCCCACTGGGTACCTCACACTTGTTAATCAACTTCAAAAACTCTGTCAGTCCTATTTTTTCTGTTGTGTTTTACCTTCCAGGATTCGACGTTTCTTAATAAGCTTCTTCGCTTCCTTGGGTACCTTGCTAGGCCCCGCTCAAATGACCGTCCCCCAACTTCCACTGCACACTCCGTAATGATACTCGTCAGATTATCTTTCATTGGGTCAATTCTAAGACCGGTTTTAGAGATAACAGCCGAGTATTTGTTCTGAAGCGACACTTTGTTCCTGCACTTTCTTTCTCAGCGCTAGCTCATTCATGGGCTTTCTTGCGTATCAGTTTCTGTCGCTCCTTCTTCAAGTCTAGGTGTATTCGAAACCTTACCATTCTGTGGTCACTGAATTGTACCTTGCCAAACTTTTGCACATGCTGCGAAATGCCTAGGTGCTGACTGAATATAGTGTGAGCGCGACAAGCGAATGACTCTTTATTCTCTTTGTAATCATCATCAGCTGTGCATCTTCTTCATCTAAGAATATCATCACCGGCGTGATTGAGCTCGAGCCTGGCCGAATAAACCGGTTGCTCACAAGTGGTGGACTGTGCTTTTCGTTCCCTCAAGTCCTCTCGCCCGTTCTCGCTGGAGCTCCGCTTGGGTCGTCACGCACAACCCCCTGCCATGGCGGCCCAAGAAAACCCTGGCCCATCCAACGTCGCCGTCCTACTGCAGCCACCGCCCCCCGCTCCGCCCAACAACACTCGCCTGCGTGATCCACCTGTGTTTTCCGGTCTCCGAGGCCGGAACAATTTCGGTCTTACGTTCGCCATAACGGCTACTCCATGTCTACTTACAGCTCGCTTCTTTTCGGTAAAGGTATGTGTTAGTAAGATCCGTAAATGTTTGCGTTCTGCGCAGTCTACTAACACTTTCCCTCTCAAACTTTTTTACCGATGCCATAATCCCTGGCTGCCTGGTCTCCATCCTACTTCTTCCTTCTTTTGGCAATGTAGACACTTATCAGTATACTGTATCTTCTTTTTACCTTACTCTTTGTCGATTCAACATCTTCACGGTAGCTTTGAAATAATACTTTATCATGTCTCAGCAGAGGATTGGACAGCCTGGAGCTGTATCTGACCACTCCCTCCTTCATGACTACGTCAATTAACCCTCGTTTCTCTTTCCAAAGTGGCTGCGAAGCAATTGACCACGGCACCAGTCAGATCTGCACGAGCAGGTAATGCTGAGAATCTCTGCGTCCCGAGAGGCCGCCATTTGAACCTCAACATGGCAAGGTTTAATGCTACAATCTCTTCTTGTGAGGGGTGTTTCGCTGTGCTATTCGAGCAACTGGTGTGTGTTAAATGGAATGCAATTTGGTCAAGTGAGATTAGGAGGACGTATGAGGCCTATACAAAGCTACCTAATGGGCACGCGCTTTGCTATCGTCGCTTGGCTGACAGAACAGGGGGTGGGGTTCCCTGTCCAAAATATTATAGCTGGTAACATAGAGAAATACGATAGCATTAATGAATGGGTAGCAGGTATTGTAATTAAACATATAAGATGAAATAGTACAGGGCTACGCGCCTACATCCAGCCTGACGAATAGACCTCCATAATTGTTAGAGCCCGCCGAGCACGAGTGAAGCTAGAGGGTCCTGCCACACGCTTCAAGCCCTTCCTATCTAGACCTTGGTATCAACGAGCGTACTGAAAGCTACGCAGAGAAGAGACAAAAAGGGGGAACAAGCTAGGTGAAATCCTCAGGACTCACAATGACCATGGGCACTTCTTTCTTTGAACATGCGACTTCCTGTTATTGTGATCTCGAGCGTGACCACTTTCGAGAACGTGGCGGCATTGTGCGGTGGCTACGATAACTATACAAATCATCGCGCTCAAATCAGTCTGTGGCCATGTACTTTATGTTTTTGACACAATCTCTTGCGTCTATGGCACTATTTGTGCAGAGAAAAGAAAGCGAATTCTGGCCAACTTTGAGAATTATTTGCGTACTCGAGGTCATGTGCTGCGCTAGAATGTTGTGCAAACGTGTTCTCAGGAGTCGGTCAGCAGTGTTTTCTGACCATGGCAAAAAAGAGTTGCTGGGTGCCTTTCGAAGCAAATGCGAAAGTCTCAAATTTCTTATATTCACAATAGTCCGATTCGCCTTGAGGTCAAATATTTTATTTATTTATGTTATAGCCAATATATTGCTTGTCATAGGATACCATTCTTTGTTGATGCTTTGCATTTCCAAAAGTGTAGTTTCTAGAGACTGGGATTTAGCTTCAGATATAATGAACCATGCTAGACTTTGAAAATACTCGCACAACAAAAATCTTTTCTTCTTGATAGAATATTCGCTGAGACACGAGACTATTGATACTTTTCCGCTGTTGCTGATTGCCTATATTCGGCAATATTCCGGCTGAGTTATTACTGCATCTCAGTATTGTTTATGCTTGCAAGCATAACTGAGTATGTCAGCAGGAATCAATTTATTACCTTCTTCATAATCATATCGTAGTTTTGGAATTTTACACACCACATAACCATCGATCATCAGTTTATTACCTCAATCGTGTATATATAAATTATCATAGAAGAGCGAAGTGGGATTGCATAGTTCCAGAAAATTCTTGCATGGAATTCTCCCAGTCTTTCTTTTACAGCTGCAATGAATGAGCTTATATTTCGCTAAGCTAAATTAAGAGTACGATTCATTGAACATTTTACAAGTAAGCACGATTTCCTACTTAAGCACCAATTTCTCGGTGACTGAATGAAATATAAATTCATGTTCTCTTCAAGGTACCTACAGTTCCGCTGTCTGGCATCAGCAAAGCCGGTGTGGACAAGTTGACAAAGATTTCCGCACTGGGTATGTATGAATATTGACAAAAGTTCAAGCCGCGAAATATTGCTTGTCCTGATCGCATCCCAGTACGCAGCAATACCAAAGTATATGCAAACTGGTAACTTAACTTCCATGGAAGCCCATAAATCCAGTAGTCGGCGGCTCGTTGCCACCGTCGCCAGTTAGGTGAGGAGGGGACTCTTAACAGCGAAAAATAATAAAAAGTAAAATAAGAAGTCATAACCGCAAGTGGTAGCGACATTGCGCTTTTTTCTTTTATGGCGCGAAATTAATTTTTTTTTGTTGCTGACCTGTTAACTGTCTTTATTGATACGCAACTTTATTGCATCTTGTGCCACGCTGATTGCATGAAGGAGAGAACAGTTATTAGCAAAGTGACGTACAGCACTCATGGATTTATATAGGACACTCAGAACACATGGCTGCTGGAGCAGTTCATGGGTGCTCATGGAGCCAAGGTGTTGCATTGTGGTATTGGCCGAGGGAAAGATCATCTTAAAAGCAGGATCACTGCTTCCGGTTGCCAACGAGCCGGCCTGCAGTTTACCATGTGCACACTGCCAGCGTGGCTCCGCTAGGCAAGCACGCTTTCGCATGCCGGCCGACCGAAATGGCTCACCGGAGGACACTACTTATTTTGTGGTGCGAGTAACCAACGCGCTGGTTCTGCACATTTTGGCGATGCGGCACGTAGGCTCTGTAAGTAAAAAAATTGAATCGGCTAAGACAATGCGCATTATGTGCGTTCACAGCCTTGATAAAAACAAACATTTGCACAAATGCACAGAGGGTGTGTTGCGTTGTTTTTGTCGCAAGAAAAAAAAAGAGATGTGTGAGGCCTGTGCTTGGGTAACATCAGAACAATGTCGTAGAATTTTCTGTGACGTCCTGGGAAGCCAATACTGCCATGATACTGCGTGGAAAACATTCTTAAAGGCTATCAGCTATGGAAGAACGCGCCACCTTCTGCCATTCTTCCTGGACGACAGCCGACAAGCTGTCGGAAAGACACTAACTCTACGTGCATTCGTTTCACCTGCCCTTCGTGAATTGGTTCACGAAGCCGCTGCACTTCATCATTCATTTCACAAGTTTAACGTGGCGGACGTGGAACCATTGTATTGGTTTCAAAAAAGTGCAGCTGTGTTGCAAGGCTAGTTCACGAATTCCCTCTACCTGCTAGCGAGCTAGTGCCGAGTCCGTGCAGCACAAGGTGGCTACCGCTGCAGCAAATGACACAGCCTATTGCATTCGTGTCCGTTTTAGCGACGTACAACACGCACGAAAGTGAACATTTTTCGGTAGATACATGCCTGGCGACGTAAGCGGCACCGTCTTTTACGATCACAGCCTCTACAATGCTCGAGACGGCTGGCGAGTGGCATAGGGCTTGCACGACATCTGCACTCTCGTATTTGTTTCCGCGTCTCGCCACTGCTACGCTTGCTGAAGCGTCACCTGCATGAAGACAACGCCCAGACGGCACAATCGTGAACTAGTTATGGAAGTGCATGGTGAATTAAATGGACGTTCTAATGCATTGCTTCTATGTCACAAGAAGAACGTCCTCCGACTGTTTCTTTTTTTTTTGTCACGAAAGAATTGATATGTGGGGTTGAACGTCCCAAAACCACCATATGTTTTTAAGGGACGCCGTAATGGAGGGCTCGAGAAATTTCGACCACCTGGGGTGCTTAAACGTGCACCCAAATCTCAGCACACGGTCCTACGGCAATTTCGCCTCCATCTAACATGCATCCGCCACAGCCGGGATTTGATCCCGCGACCTGCGGGTGAGCAGCCGCGTACGTAAGCCACTAGACCTCCACGGTGGGGCTTATCATCAATGAAATCACGAAATAGGCTCACTACAGTTTTGAGAAGCTAGATGTTCGTCATGAGTGCGAACGCACATAATGCGCATTGTCTTCAGCGAATCATGTTTCTCATTTACAGAGCCTACGTGCCGCATCCCAAAAAGGCGCAGAACGAGAGCGTCGTCTACTAGCGTCACAATATAAGTAGTGTGCACCGAGGAGCCATTTCCGTCGGCATGCGAAAGCGCGATATCAGCACCACGCTGGCAGTGTGCACATGGTAAACTACAGGCCGGCTCGTTGGTGAGCCGAAGCAGCAATCCTGCTCCTCAAATATTCTCCTCCTCGGTCTATACCACAATGCGACACGCATAGAGTTTCCAAATATACACTAGAGGGAACTCTGGCGCTAGTGTCTATGGGAGCTGCAACGCACGGCGCTTCAGTGAGCATGGAATGATGGGTAGTACACACATTTGTCTAAACTTCGTCCTTCTGGCTTGCTTTTGGATTCGTGTGTGTTCGTGTGGCTTGAAGCTGTTTTCTCACGAAACAAAAATCAGAAAATGTTTAGTGGTTGCGATTCATCACCTTATTTTTTTCGAATTACCTTTCCAAATTGAGTCACGAAGTTCAAAAGGGTTGAATATTTCTTTCAAAACAAAATTAAAACACAGCAATAAACGAAGCCGCCACTACGATTCACCACCCGCAAGTACGAAGACTAGGCAAATATGTGTATTACCCATCATTCCCATGATCGTTGAACGATCGCAGTGCCAGAGTGCCCTGTAGTTAATTTTGAGAAACTCTAGGCTAACCATCATTCTCATGGTCGCTGAAAAATCATAGCGCCAGAGTCCCCTATAGTTAATTTTGAGAAACTCTATGGCGACAGCTTGGTTCTATGAGCACCCACGAGCTGCGCGATGTCTGGCGCCGGCCATGCGTTCCGAGTGTCCTGTTTCAATCCGTGAGCACTGCAACTGCAATATACAAAAGAAACTTCGCACAGGCAATTTTGAGACAACTACTCACGAGCACATTAGCATATTAGTTCGAAAACTCACGTTGCCCAATCGTTGAAAACCACTGCAGTGAGACAGCAGCTTTGAAAATATGGCTTTGGCAGCGCTTCCCATTCAGTTACGCTGAGGTGATCCGGCTGCCGCCGAGAGATGGCGCGACATGTTATGTCTAGAATTCCTGGGGATGAGTGTGCAGCGTCTCGTTGCTTAGCGTGTTGCATTCATCGTCACCAGTGGCAAGGCCACGCCAGCCGTGCATTAGCGAAAGGAGTCGGCAGTCACAGGAGTAGCTATCTACACATTCTGTGAGCTATTTTAGCTCTGAAATGTCACACCAGTAAACAGCACATAAAAAATAAGTAAACTACTGACGGTACGCAAAAAAAAAATATCACGGAAAAGTCAGCAATGCCTCGTTGACCTGGTAATGCGCCAAACCAAAGAACACGCCGAACTAGACACAAGCTCTGGAAACGCCCCCAAAACCTTTCGCACACGCTACCAGACTATACTTGCTTGTGCCCGCTGTTTCTGAAACCAAACGAAAAAAATGGGCGCTGAACGAAATACGAAAAAGTAAATCTTTAATAAAGTAATCTACTATTTCTGTAACGAATAAAATTAAACTATCGAAAAGAAACCTTTAATTCATTTTTTGGTTTTAATATTTGTTCGCTCCTCACCTAGTCACGCTTCATCGTCACGCGGTTGTTCATGTCTGCCGCAATGGGTATCAGATCCCTTTATTTTTACTTTTACGACCTATTTAAATTGACCTTGGCGATACTGCATACACTACTGTGAATACAACCCTACAAACGCCGATAAATTGTGTTTTTTTATGTCAGTTTGGAAGTGCGAGCGCAAATTTATTACTTACACAAAGCAGTGACCACCAACCGGTATTCTTATTGTGGCCATGCAAACTAAATATTTAGAGCAGTTGACGTCGCAATATGATCTGTTTTGTGTTTAAATGAACATTTAAGGCAGTATGGATCAGGCTAATGGCGCACATAAACGTACCGATGTTGCACAAAGAGGCAAAGTGCTCGAACGTTCGAGAACAGATATACACATAAAAAACCAAGCATTACCAGTACTTGTACAGCAAATAAGAAGAGTCCTAGGCTTCACTATACTACTCGAAAACTTTTCTTGGTTTCTCTACGTGAAGTGGTTCGATTTGGCACGCGTCTCGTAAAGCTGTGGAAAGTAGTGGGGGTGTAGCATCGCCGTTTCATGCAGACGCAGACGCCGCTTAGCGTTTCAGGTACGCGTAAAAAGGCTGGACTTTCGGGCACGTTCCAAATCGCTGTGAAGCTAAATAAATAAAGCTGCCTCGCTGATATGTGCTGAGTTCTGTCTCAAATAGTTCCACTTAAAAACTGAAGAAGGAACTTCTATAATTTACATTCAAAGTAGGGTCGCTATTGTGCAACTACATTCACTGACAGTAGGATGCACGCAATAGGGGTTTTTAGCCTTCACTTCAATGACAAGAAAAATTGTCCCCGAGTATAGTAGGGAGAGCGTTTGGGGATAAATTGTACGTGGTACAATATTACCCGGGTATATCACTCCATACACGCAAAAAGAACAAATGCCCTGTAACACTAAATGCGATCAAATTGCACAAATGGTCTTACCAAAACTGTTGGTTCCCCAGGATAGTAAGAGGAACAAGAGGAACCAGTATTTTCTTCAAGGACAAACCACACTTCGCTCGACATATGGTCCCAGTTCAGTTACACTTGAACAAACTAGGAGATACTCGAAACTCTCAATTGAAGAATACTTACTTCATACACCTACACTTCAATAGAAGCAGTCTCCACATTTCCCCACGGAAATACCCCGGAAGGCTAATCTATTTATTCTTGTTTCAAATCATCTGCGTCGAAGATGATTGGCAAATGCAGAAGTGGTACATCCTCTCCCACCCACATAAAGCAGAAATTTTCAACCAGAACCCCACACCTGCCGTCGCCCAAAATAACAATGAAGTTCACCAAAAATGGGTATGATTCCTTTAGTTAGAAACCGGTATAACACGAAAGAGAAATGTGTCTTCACAGAGGCAGTTGCGCGTTTACTGTGCAATGTTTTAGTGCAAGGGAGAAGGAATGAATGTAACAGCAACAAATTGCAATGTCATGAGAAGAGCAGCAAGCAGCTCAAAACTTCCAGCGTGCACCTCAAGCCAAAAAAATTTATGAAATAAACATACACAGGACGAGCGTGGAATTGCTGTCACAGTTCAAAACTTAAAGTGCGCTGCTCAGACGAAGAAAGGCGCGCGATTCTTCGTCACCGTTCTTCTGCGTCTGTGAGCAGTTCGCTTCTTTCGTATAACGCAGCCATGGCAGCGAGTGAAGTGACCTTCGTGCTCTATTCAACCACTATAATTTCGAAGCAAACTTGCCATGGAAGCACAAGAAATACAAAGCGCTCAAATTACAAGATACCTGTGCGCACGCACGAGAGACCGCGCTGACAACACCCTGTAGATCCGCGCATGCATCGTACCTGCAGAGTGCGTCCGACGTCCTCCCTTAATGCCATCTCACTACTGACAACAAATGTGCACTAAAGATGCTGAGCTTCGAGGACGATCAACGGTATAAGGAGAATATAAGTAGGTTTCCATTCCCAACATGGTTATTGTACGCTCTGTGGCCTATAGCTATTAGCGCCACGCGCTGTGAAGCGAGTCGACGTAGAATCAACGCCCAAACGACAGAACTTTTTTTTTATTTTTGCTTTCTCTTTGCAATATGTTTGTATACATTTTACAACGTCATTATCCTGACGTAAATGCGTCAGCGGAGGCATGGTCGGCCATGGTATAAAATATTTTTGTGTTTAAAACATAAAAAGGTGGTGTCAGGCTCAGAAGAACAATGAATGAGGGTGGAATAAATATGTTTGTCAATTAAAAGCGTCGTCAGGAGACCATGACCACCACACACATTTGCTTTGTTTGTTTGTTTTTCTCCGCTCTTTCGCCCTCCTCGGAGCTATACAAGATTTGTAGCGTGGAGTACAGAAAGAAAAACAACACAGAAAGAAAGAGGGTACGCATTTGGGCTGCTTAGTTTGTGATCTGTAGAAAACATCGCTGAAACACGGGAGGAAGAAAAGGCACTGGTGAAACAAGAGATTTCAAAAAAAGGGGCTGTAAAATTTAAAAGCGGCATAAATAATACTCCGTCGATGGTAGCAACTATAGGCGGGTGGCTGATATGAGCAAGTAACTTTGATAGTGTCCGCAGCGGAAATCAGCAAAAGTAGCTGTGAGTTACCCTGAAATACCTTTTAATGAACACATAAATAATTGCTGATAAACGTGCCACTATAGCCTTTGATAGATATCACAAATACATCTTCTGCAGTATTGGTGGGTGAAGTTCAGCAAGACCGAAAGGAGAATTTCGTGACTTGTGATCATAAATGAAGTTTGTGTAAAGCAGGGCGTGGAATGGTACGAACCGGGAAAATGAAGATTAGTTCGAGTGTCTCTCTTGCGTGTGGTTTTTCAACTTTTTTTCCAGTTTATACGACGTTTTCTCCGCACGTTATGCTAACACGGTAACTAACCAGATTCGCTTGGTTTATTCAGGGCACCTAGTCGACCTCCCGGCACTTTCCTCGAGTTTTTTTTTTCACTCTCTCTTGTTGGATTCCACTGAATAAGGGGATATATTTGTGATCAGGTCATTGCATTCAAGGAATCGCTTAAGTTATCACCATTACTGTCATTTGTGCGTACCCCTTACCCTGCTTACCACGACGGACCTTACCTTGTCTCCCATCACGCAAAAAAAAAATTTGCCGAAAAGTGTGTTGTACTAGCGCCCATGTCTCCAATTGTATCTGATTGCAACGAAAATGACTGCCGTTTATGATTGTTTGAGCAAGTTACTTGAATAATTTAGCTGGTCACACCCATAAACATCATGTGCTGGTGTGTGCTCAACTGCGAAACAAGGCAAATAGACACCCATGTCTTCCGCTTCTGCAAATGGATAACGTTCCCAAGTGCCAATATAGGGATATCTGAACACACATATATATCATGTGTACTCGACGAAGTTGTTCTTTAGAAAGAGTAGCCACATTTACCCGGGACCTTACGGTGCCTTTTTATATAAATGACATCTCAAAATTCAGAAAATTCAGTGCACATTCGATAATACCTGCTTCATAATAACATTTCATAACAAATCAAAGGCATGCCTCACAGCTGCATTACTCGCTCACTTTCTAACCTACGTTACCGCTGGAGCCGTCGAAGAAACGCGCACGAAGCCACAGTGCTCAACCTCTAGATGTTCAATAGTGCAAACATGTAAATTATTGTCTACCACGAGTTCGACTTGAAAGATTCGTTTGTGGTAATTTAGGAAGGATATCGAAACTACTGTTAGCACGACACATGATAGAATTGTATCCATGGCTTGAGTAAAAATACACTGACGTAACTCTAAAAGACGAGTGAGGTGGTACGTCTACATCGTAATAACTTTCTTATAGTGCAGACCTACACACGGGCAAAGAGAAGGAACGATACCAGTGCTACTGTCAACTGAAGAACTTATTTCAGGAAAGCAAAGCATATATACTGACGCTGTCACTGCTGGCCATGCGCACCGCCATGCAATCTCCGGAGCTATCGCGCCCAATCGGCTACTACTCCTTCTTTTAGACGCGACCTTTTTTTTTTTTTCAGAAATAGTTACAGACGGTCGGCTGGTACAAGATAATATCTTAAGGTGGATGTAAATATGCCGCTGTGAGCTCTCGCGTGGAGCGATCACGGTGCCTAAACAGAATGACTATTCGAAAAGCGTGCCTCGCCTTCGCACTGCGCTCAATGAGCCGCCAAATGGTGCGATAGCTCCGGACATCGCAACTACGGCGGCACACATAGGCAGTGAGTAACAGCGCCAGTTTATAAGTTTTTCTGATAAATAAAACCTTCAGTTGATAGTAGCGTTGGTATCGTTCCCTCTCTTTCTCTGTGCGTTAGTCTGCTTTAGAAAAAAGTTATTTCGATGAGTGAAGATCACCGTGCAGGTTAAGCATGTTTATGAGGGGCAGCTTAATGCTACTATTAATTAAAGAGGACTTGTCATATTTTTAGCATAGTCGGGAAACGAGGCCCATTGGTATTAGAGGCTCCGAAAACACGTTAGCCAAATATTACGCACAGAACATGGCACGGAATTCACAATAAATTATCAAAGTGAGCGAGAAATTGATATCTAATCCCTCGACATCTGATCGACGAAGCTGGAACATCTCTCGTAGAAGGCCTCCTATCAGCGATTAGCTGATTTAAGAGCAAACCTCATAAGCGCGAAAATGCACGTGACAGCGACGAGCGATACTATGAGCGACGAAACAGGGCGTTCGCGCAACGTGTCGCGTGCTCGTTTTCGCGCGATCGCTCAGTTCTCCCCATTTGGAAACCGTTGCTCATCGCGCGGAAGTGCTGGGCTCAAGCAACCAATAGCGAAAAACCGGAAAAGACAAAGACTAAATCGGTGCACGTGACCCTGCCCGAGTCACGCATGCGCAACAAAAAATAACGCAATGTTTACGCTTGTGCATATAAATAAAGTGCTGCAAGGCACTCATAAACACTTTCCGTTCCATTACACAACAATATATCTTATTTTTAAATTGCATACCGCTCACTCCGCGTTTTTTTTTTGGTGCGAGCAGACGGCCTCATGCCAGCAACAGTGGAGTTCGCTCGCCGAAGCCGTCGCGTGAATGAGGTTTGCCTGCGCTAGCGACTGATCGCGCGAAGACGATCTACGTCGCGTCGCTCGTCGCTGTCGCGTGCATTTTCGCGCTTATGAGGTTTGGCCCTTAAACATGACTCGTTCGGTCATTACAGAGATCGCCGTAGAAGGCCGCGACTTCTTCATACTTGCGCGCGCCATCAGACTGAAAAAGCCGTGCTTATTCAATGAAAAATAAAGAGAAAAGTGCTCAAGGTCACGAGGCACGCGTGACGTATTTTCTTCGCCCATGTCTTCCTGCCCTGCTTAGCTTGCAGCACCTCCGTCAGGACAAAAGAAGAGAATGCTAATGCAGCGTGCGACTAATCTTTGTATCTTTCTTGGTATGAAGCGCAGCAACTCTTACACGGAACACACAATCTTTGTACCTCCGCTCGTACTCGACGAACTCTTGAAATTTCTGCAGCGTTGTACTTATGTCGCAATAAACTCTTTCGGTGAATATATCCATTTATTGCTTGAAAAAGTGTTTCAGGGTCACTTCTAGCGATTGCTTTAAAAGCAAGACTGTAACAATAGTAACAAATTTTTATACCACGGGAGCTCACAAGAATACCGTATTGTTTGTTTGTCTTTCTTTTTTGAACTCCAGAATATGCCCGGTATGGCATTCGTGTCAACTCAATCAAGTGAGTACACATCAGTGATTTTATTTATTCTTGACTACGTTAAACCAGTAAATCCGTTTTAGTGTATCCTGGAATACCTACTGCATGTACTGCGGCGAAGGGCCCACTACATCATTAGTATGCTGCATTGAAGCTTGCAGAGAAAATGCCCCACATGACCCAAAACATAAAACAAGAAAAAAAGTATAAAAACACGAAAAAAATACACAAAATATTTCCTCAACATCTTTCTGTAGTAGATGAAAGTTTCGTTGATGTAGCTCAAAAATTGTACGAGTTGAGTTACGAAGTTCGATTTTTTGGTATGCTGACTGAATGTTCCATTATCCAATCATGTTACAATAAGATAGCACCTCCCTTTACAAAGTGTTCATACATACCAGCACCTGAAGCACAATTGAAAAGAAGAATTGTTACGCTTTTTAGCCGTAGGTATTTTAACAAACAATACTAAATAGCAGCACAAAAAAAAACAGACACCGATATGTACCAATCAACAGGACACTAAAACACCCTAAACTGTGGCCTGAACCAACAAAATCTATATTCCGAGAGAGCAAAAAGGCACAGCTTTGTGCCAAATGTGAAACAGTGAACGTCGTAGCATCAAATTGGAAGGTCCCGCGAGAAACCGCATGCAGATAGAAACGTGGCACGCACAAATGACGCACAAAACGCACGCTCACAGCTACAGATGAACTCAATAAACGCTTCAGTTGTCGCTTCGATGTGTCGAAAAAGCGCACACTTTTCACAAATGGAGACTGCAACAAGTGCAGTGACAATTTTGCGTCTGGTATATACAAAAGAATCTTTCCAGTGAAAGCTGCACGCCTATGATTGTCCACGCCGTGAGAATGGCGAGCGCATGCGTGTGCCTCCCCTCTCCTTGGGGCACGGAGGAAGGAAAGGTAAGGAGAGACCCTGACGTCACTCGTTGTGAAGCCGCGATGAAGCCGGAAGTCGGCCATATTGACTGGGCAAATTCTCCTTTCTTGTTTACTTATGAATGCGAAGCAGAAGGCGCGACTCCCTCTCCGTCTCACAAAGCACGTGGCCTGCGCGCTGCGTGCGCCGGTGCTATCCGAAACCAACGGAACGGAGAACGGAACACGCGATCTTGCCGCGATACGATTGTCGAAATCTCTGCGTATGGCTGTTGTACTCTTGCACTGCCGGCGTTTACGATAAACACGGCAAGTTGCACGTTAATCTTTTTTTATTTGATGTGTTCTTTGTGAAAATAATATGATTGATTGATATGTGGGGTTTAACGTCCCAAAACCACCGTATGATTATGAGAGACGCCGTAGTGGAGGGCTCCGGAAATTTTGACCACCTGGGGTTCTTTAACATGCACTCAAATCTGAGCACACGGGCCTACAACATTTCCGCCTCCATCGGAAATGCAGCCACCGCAGCCGGGATATTTGTGAAAATAAAGATGATATTTCGGACATTGCCGCACGACAAACCAGGCACCGAAATTTGTACAGTTTCTTTCAGATCACTTTTTCCCCCTTTTGCGCTTCTCTTTAGGTTTTATGAAATTTTTGGTCAAGCTGTGGGCTAGACACAACGGTAAAAAAAGAAAATTGTCTTCCCTGCAATGAACCCGGAGGTCCGTAATTATGCCAGTAAAGTCGGCATCGGTGGAGCTGGTGTGCGTGGCAGTCCATTGATTTTGCGCCGGCCTCTTTTTTTTTTTGGCCCCTCTTTTGTCCGACGTGCACTGGTTCCTACTGATAGTACACCTTTAGTGGTGAGCAGAAGAGACGTTTACTTTGTGGAAAACGTAGCGGTAGAACCGACCAGCTGTCAAGCGGAGCGAGCGCGAGCAGCAACAACACTCTTCCTTCTCTTCTTCAGCTGGCGTTCCGGCCTGTGCCAAATATCAATGCTACAAATCACTCCCCCCTCAGAAAAGGAGCCATCCTGGCGACCTATGGAACGGGTACGACGGGTGGGTCGTAGTGCGGCTTCAATCGATCTACGTGAACAGTCTCGCGGCCTCGATGCCGTCGGTCTGTTGGTGGTTGAACCGGCTCAACAATATAGTTAACCGGTGAGGCCTGACGTAGGACTCGGTAGGGGCCTTCGTACTTCGGCAGTAGCTTGGTGGAAAGACCAGGAACAGATGAGGGAACCCGAAGCCATACCAAGGCGCCAGGCGAGTATGACTGCGAAGACAGGTTTTCGTCGTGACGGTTCTTCTGGTACGCTTGATCTTGGGCGGTTAAGGAACGCGCGAGTTGCCTGCATTCTTCTGCATAGGTGGCGACTTCAGATAGAGTTGGGGATTCCGAAGCGTCTGGATGATACAAGAGAATGGTGTCCATGAATGAGGAAGGTTCGCGCCCGTAAAGGAGGAAGAACGGAGAGAATCCTGTCGTAGACTGAGTGGCGCTGTTGTAAGCGTAAGTTACAAAGGGCAGTATGCGGTCCCAGTTGGTGTGATCAGCGGACACGTACATGGATAGCATGTCGCCCAGTGAGCGGTTAAACCGTTCGGTCATTCCATTCGTTTGCGGATGGTATGCGCTGGTTGTCCGATGCACAACGTTGCATTCGCGAAGAAGGGCTTGTACCGCTTCGGAGAGGAACGTACGGCCGCGGTCACTGAGTAGCTCACGAGGCGCGCCATGGCGTAGAATGAGATTGTGAAGGATAAATAAGCCAACTTCACGTGATGTGGCCTCTGGCAGCGCAGCAGTTTCAGCATAGCGTGTCAAGTGATCAATGGCGACAATCACCCAGCGGTTCCCGTTAGGCGTATAGGGAAGGGGACCGTACAAGTCAATTCCGATGCGGTCGAAAGGGCGGGAGGGGCAAGGCAACGGCTGCAGTTGTCCATTGGCTATGTGTGGTGGGCTTTTTCGGCGTTGACATTTGGAGCACGAACGCACGTACTGTCGGACAAAGCGGTACATTCCGCGCCAATAGTACCGCAGCCGGAGACGTGCATACGTTTTTATCACACCGGCGTGGCCGCATTGAGGATCCGCGTGAAAAGAGTCGCAAATGTCGGCACGTAGGTGGCGAGGAATCACAAGCAACCACTTGCGGCCGTCAGAAAGGTAGTTGCGACGGTACAGGAGTCCATCGCGGATGGTAAAGTGTCGAGCTGTGCGCTGCAGTGAACGATTGGGCGTAACTTGGGACGGCTGAGACAGTAACTCTATCATAGAGGCTATCCAAGCGTCTTGGCGCTGTTCATAGGGCATGTCCGCGTACGAAAGTGCCACAGCATCGAGGCTGGATACAGAAGTACTTCCGTGTTCATGGGGAAGTGGAGAGCGGGAGAGAGCGTCGGCATCTGAATGTTTGCGGCCTGACCTGTAGACGACACGGATATCATAGTCTTGGAGGCGTAACGCCCAACGAGCGAGACGGCCAGATGGGTCTTTTAGTGACGATAACCAGCAGAGGGCGTGGTGATCAGTCACGACGTCAAATGGACGGCCATAGACGTAGGGTCGAAATTTTGTGATTGCCCAGACGATGGCTAGACATTCTTTTTCTGTGACTGAATAATTCTGTTCAGCCCTAGTAAGAGTGCGACTGGCATAAGAAACGACGTACTCGTCGTATCCAGACTTGCGTTGAGCAAGAATAGCGCCAAGTCCGACTCCACTTGCGTCGGTGTGTATTTCTGTAGGGGCATCAGGATCAAAGTGACGGAGAATCGGTGGAGATGTCAGCAATTGACGTAGTTTCGCGAATGCCTTATCGCAATTGGAAGACCACGCCGAAATGCCCTCGGTGTCAGAAAGTAGCCGTGTTAAAGGGGCCATGACAGATGCAAAATTACGGACAAATCGGCGAAAGTATGAACATAAGCCGATAAAGCTCCGGAGTTCCTTAAGTGTCGATGGCTTCGGAAACTGGGCGACAGCACGGAGTTTTCCAGGATCAGGTAGAACGCCGTCCTTGCTGACAACATGCCCTAAGATGGTGAGCTTCCGGGCGGCAAAATGGCACTTTTTCAAATTTAGTTGGAGCCCAGCATGTGTAAGGCAATGCAGGACACTTGCGAGGCGCAGAAGATGGGTATCGAAGTCTTTTGAAAAAACGACGACGTCGTCCAAATAGCAAAGACACGTCTGCCATTTAAGGCCTCGAAGTATGTTGTCCATCAGACGCTCGAAGGTGGCTGGGGCGTTACAAAGGCCGAACGGCATCACGTTAAACTCGTACAAGCCGTCCGGAGTTACAAACGCAGTCTTGGCGCGGTCAGCTTCATCCATGGGTACCTGCCAGTATCCCGATCGAAGATCCAGCGAAGAAAAGAATTCTGCACCTTGCAAACAGTCGAGAGCGTCGTCAATTCTGGGGAGCGGATAAACATCTTTGCGCGTGATCTTGTTAAGGCGCCTGTAATCCACACAGAATCGGATGCCCCCGTCCTTCTTTTTGACCAGTACCACCGGGGAGGCCCACGGACTGTTAGACGGCTGTATAACGCCACGATTGAGCATATCAGACACTTGATCGTCTATAACTTGGCGTTCGGCGTGGGAGACCCGGTATGGACGCTGACGCAATGGTGCGTGGGTGCCAGTGTCAATACGATGGACAATTGCAGATGTTCGGCCCAGACTGGTTTGTTTGAAGTCGAACGATGAGCGGAAGTGGTCGAGAAGTGTCAAGAGTTGAGTTCGTTGGTCAACAGGAAGGTCAGGATCAATCGATGGAAGGAAGACGTCGAGGGAAGAGGTGGCGGATGTGAGAGCGGAAGTAACACTGGCGATCTCAAGGCTTTTTGCTTGATAGGGCAGTTGACTGGTGCAAACACAATCGATGTCCTCAAGGCGGCCGATGCATTCGCCACGGAATAGGGTGACTGGTACAGAAAGGAGATTCGTGGCATAAATGTTTGCGCAAGTGGCTTCGACCGCCAGAAGAGCAAAAGGCAGAAGAACGTTTTTTCGAGAAGTGAAGTCTTCTGACGGCGTGAACATGACGTCCGAAAAAGCGGCATGGTCGCACGAGATCGGCAC